CATAAGCCCAAAGCTTTTGTTTGATCAGCACCAGGGGCAGACTGACAACTCATGGGGCCCCTGGGCAATAGGGGATCATGGGGCCCCTGGGCAATAGGGGATCATGGGGCCCCTGTGTCCTTGCCCACACTCAAACCACACCTAAAAAAGCCTATGAAAGGTAATAGGGGCATCTCATGGGGCCTCTTGCTGACCCTGGGCCCTTGGGCAGTGCCTGAGTGCCCGAATAATCAGTCCGCCCTTGATCAGCACTGCAGCCAATACTCTGCTGGCTAATTTAAAAAAAACAGAGCCATGTATGGCCAACTTAAAGTGGAGTTCCACTCACGCTGTCAAAAAATAGGTCAGCAGCTACAAAAACTGTAGCTGCTGACTTTTAAAAACCTGTCCCTCAGTCCCGCGGTGTGTCCCCCGCAGCCCGATTCACTGGCCGTCCTGTATTCTAGGAGGTCGGCATCTTCAGTGTGGGCACCCGGCTGTGATAGCTTGCGGCTTTACAGCTGGGTACCCATTGTGCATGCGCATGTAGCACTGAGCTTCGTGAATGGTCCTGTATTTTTCTGGGACCTGTCACAAGTCCCAAAAGACTACAGGAAGGGAGGCAGGGAGGACACCTTACGTTTCCGATTGCCTAGGCGATCGAACCACAAGTTGGAGCGGGTACCTGTCAAATTCGGGTACCCACTCCCCCCCGCCCCCCAAAGGTGCCAATCCTCAATGGGGAGCAGGGGAGCAGTCCTTAAAGCGGAACTTCCCCTTTTGGGTGGAGCTCCGCTTTAAGGTAGGCTCAGGCTAAGAGTAAGGTCACCGTAGATGGTTCAAATCTCAGCCAATTCAACAGGAACTGGCTGAGATTCACACCATGAATGTGCAGGCTGAATGTACCAAATTGATCAATGAGTCAACTTGGATACAACCAGCCTGCCAGATTTTGCATGTGAGAATCACTAGTGGCTAATATAGCCGCTAGCAGTAATCACTATCTTCTACTGGTGGATACAGCTTTGCAGCCCCCCCCCCCCAGAGAATACAATGGCTTGGCAGGGGGATTTCCCCTGGTTGCAGGAAATAAATTTGCACTGTGTATGGGCTGCTTAAGCTCTTTGTTTTTTCATGTTTTATTTTTTTAAATGGTTCTTTAGGTTTAATTGCCTCTTTGACTCTTTTGCACCTAGCACAGGAATTAAAGATAAATTACAGGTATGGATATTTTATACATAGTTATGTAAATGCCATACCTGGCTGATACTTCTGGAAGCTGGAAATCATTGAAGAAGACACAGCTATTCCAGTGGCCTCCACTTGCTTCCAGGTCCTGCACCGAGCAACTTCCCTGCTGCATTCTGAACACAGGAGGTCGGCAGCTCAGCATGGGTGCCATTCAATGAATGCTTTGCTTTTCCTGAATGAATTGATTGATTGGATGTGGTGGAGAATGTGATGTCACTGTCCTGCCTCTCCATCTTGTCCAAACAGAGAATGCTTTGCAATAATTCAGAGAATTCAAAACATTATCTGTGGTTTACATGCCAAGCTATTTTCTGTGTTGAGTAAGCAGAAGTTCAGCTGCTTGGCACTGGAAGAAAGTAGAGATCACTGGAGTGTCTACATCACTGATTTCCAGCTTCTAGGGGCATTGACCAGTTATGGTATATATACAATTGCATTGGTCTAAGCTGGACAAATATAACTATGTATAAAATATCCATACCTGAAATTCTTCTTTAGGGAGTGCTTTGGAATGGTGACTGTACAATGGAGCCAATCAGGGGTGGACTGACAATTTGGAAGCCCGGGGTCAGTAGGGGCCCCATGAGATGCCCCTGGTACCTTTTTCATAGGCTTTTTTGAGTTTGGGCAAGGACTCAGGGGCCCCATGATCCCTTATTGCCCGGGGGCCCCATGAGTTGTCAGTCTGCCCCTGGATGTAATAGGTAGGATCAGGCTCTATTTTTTCCCATTCGGCTCAAGATAACTTCTTTGGTTGTCTACAATGATGAGCAATCTGACAGATATGGGTGACCCATATGGGTGACATTTGCTCATATCATTTGAGAGACAATTTGAATCCTTATTTGAGGGGTGCAGATACAGTAGTAGTACAGTACAGTAGTCAAGTGCTTCCATCATCTTGGAAATCCAGATGGATTTCTCTTGAAAGACAATGGCTTATATGAGCAGATGATTGGCAGGTAATCTGCACATGTGTACTAACATACAGCTTCCTGGGTGGAAAGGCTTACTCGGTGCACATGTCAAATTGGCAAAAAAGTAATCAGTCCACCTATTCGGACTTAGCAAGATATATTAATATTATTACAGGTACTTGTATAGAGCTGTCAATTTATGCAGTGCTTTACATATATATTGTACATTCACATCAGTCCCTAATGCTCAAGGGGCGTACAATCTAAGGTTTCTAACTCACATTCATACATACACATACTAGGGACAATTTTAGACAGGAGCCAATTAACCTACCAGCATGTCTTTGGAGTGTGGGAGGAAGCTGGAGTACCTGGAGGAAACCCACACAGGAACAGAAAGAACCTGCAAACTCCAGGCAGGTGGTGCTGCAGATGGGATTTGTACCAATGACCCTGGTACTGCCAGGGAGAAGAGCTAACCATTTGGCCACTGTGCTGCCCCACAGTGGCTAAATGGTATAGGCACTAGAAATGTGAATGAAATATTAATCCTGATTGGTGGCCTTGTATATAAAGCCCAAACTCTTTAAAGCAGAATTGCACCCAAAAGGGGAAGTTCTGCTTTAAGGACTGCTCCCCTGCTCTCCATTAAGGATTGGCACCTTGGGGAGGTGGAGGGGGGGGGGGGGAGCGTGTACCCAAATTTGACAGGTACTCGCTCCCACTTCCTAGGCGATCGGAAGTGAAAGGTGTCCTCCCTCCCTGTAGTCTTTTGGGACACGTGACAGGTCCCAGAAGACTACAGGACCATTCACGAAGCTATCACAGCCAGGTGCCCACACTGAAGATGCCGGCCTCCTGGAATACAGCTGCGGGGGGCACACCACGGGACCGAGGGACAGGTAAATGGCTGTTTTTTAGAAGTCAGCAGCTACAGTTTTTTGTAGCTGCTGACTTTGATTTTTTGATAGGTTGAGTGGAACTCCACTTTAAGTTCTGGATGAGGATGAAGAGTGGTGGGGGGTTAGAACCCCTATCAGGTATCACTGTTTGTTTTCTTGCTGAGGACATTCACACTCACTACTGGTCCTAGTGGCCACTTTCTCATTTGCATAAAGTGATGGGAATTCCAAACATTTGAAGTTGTCACTGAAACAGGAAAAGAGGGGAAATGTTCCAATGAGGATGTCTGTCCTGGTGACCAGTGTCTAAGAGTCAGCATGCCCTCATACTTCTTGCTGTGTATGTGATACAGAGAGTAAAGGGGGATCTTGTTGAAGTAATACATACAGCAAAAAATGGCAGAGGTCATAACCATTTGCTAATCAATTTAAAACTACAAAAAAAATGTATATTGGACTGACCTTTAAACTAAGGTTCTTTGAACCTTCTCTTCTGATAACTGCTTCATGTTTAGGCTGCTATGGATGTGTATAGGCCAGCAGATTTCCACATGGATATTAAACAACCAGGGTGAAAGATGCAATAGTAAGGGGTATACCTATATTCCCTTCGCATACATTCCTGGGAGTACGGCTCATCAATAGAGGGTGCTGTAGCGACTACCAGCTGGGACTAGAAACATCATCGGCAAACGTACATATTTGCCAGCACACCACGGATCTCAATATGGTCCAAAAAGGTTTTTATTTCAAAAAGATCACATCACAAAGAAAAGTGCAGGACCCCTTCGTCAGGCATGTGATTTTTATTTAATTTTTATTTTTGCCTGACGAAGGGGTCCTGCGCGGCTCTGAAACTTTGCACTTTTCTTTGTGATGTGATCTTTTTGGAATAAAAACCTTTTTGGACGATATTGAGATCCATGCATTAGTAAGGGGAACTTCTTTCTGGGTATTTTTTTTTTTTCTTTCAAAATACATTTGGGATCATGCATGGCTAAATAAAATTCACACATACAACAGCCAAAGGTACCTGAAAATTTTGTGTTCTCTCTGTACTCTTAAGCTAGCTACAGACATAACAAATTTCTTCGGATTCCTGATGAACCACAAGAAATTTGAGCTGTGGTCAGTCCTGTTGGCACCCTCTTGCCTGACATTCTTTGACCTGAAAATCGAAGCAGCTGAACATAACAGTATTGGCCAAACAGTGGCTGCATTCAACCAGCTGCAGTCACTGTTGGGGGATTCTGATATCCACAGGTGCAGAATGTTAGAATACAATAGTAGGCAGTGGAGATTCCTCCATCCACACTGTTTGGAGCAGATAAGGGAATTGAGTGATTTCTCTTGTTCAGTCCTTGGGGTCAGCTTTAGCCATTCAGTTGCTACCAAGTTGTATCCAGCAACAATATTGCTAGTATGGCATGGCCCTTAGTCTTTTTCAACTGTTGACCCAAATAGGCCTCACATGACCAATAATCTATCTTGCTACCAGTACTTCCTAACAGAAGGGGCCCTCTAAATAATACAGACACAGAAGGCTCCTCAGCACCCTGTCTGGCCACAGCTGTATAAACGCATGCTCAGCAAGCCTATTCTCTGCCATATTGCTTTAACAAGTACAATTTACTTCCAACACAAACCAGCATACCATATAAAAACTTTTATTCAAAAAGGAGAAATATTAAAAAATAAATTATATTCACTTTTCTCCAAATTATTAACAAGTGTTCCTTCCTTTTTTGCATATATCAGATTAAATTAAATATAAATTATACATTCAATTTCCAGGTTTACCTAAACAAATTGTAATAAATATATAAATATTAACTTGATTGCCATTGGATTTGTACAGATATGATAAATTACATTGCACAAGGTGAGCTATGTACAAATATATACACAGGCACAAATATTTACAAAAGTGTCTATAAAGTGCAAGTCCACTTCAAACGTCCAGACACAGTGTCAGGGGTGGCTCATTTTCAATGTTGTTAAGAGATGATTTGTTTAGTTTTCTGGGGTCTTCTGGGGTCCAGACTTTAGCTGTCCGGACAATGTTCTGGTCCCGGAGTTGTTTCTCATCGGTCCAGGATAATGAATGGCCAGCTAGAGGGGGCAGACCATAATCAGGGTCACTTGGAGATGGAGATCCTAAAGAAAAAAAGACAAAAGGATAACAGGTTAGTTTCTCCCAATTGTTTCCAGTCATCACAACAATCTGTTTTAGAATAAGATAACCATCCTAGACTGGAATAGTACACTGGGTTGCCCTACAGGTTCCCACCTGAGTTTCTTTAAGCATTTTTTAGAGCATTTTTTTTTTTTTGCAAGTTTGTACATAATATCAGACTTAAGCAATTTTGTTCTAGCCAATGGGCGCTAGTTATTAGGAGAAAGAAAGGTAGGCAATTTCACAAAGAGGCGGTTTCAGGTACCTCAGCTAAGGTCTATAGGGATCAAACCACAAATTAGCTCATGTACTTTTTTGAGCTTCAAGAAACACCATGGGGGAGATTTACTAATACTGGAGCACTCAGAATCTGGTGCAGCTGTGCATAGTAGCCAATCAGCTTCTAACGTCAGCTTGCTCAATTAAGCTTTGGCATTAAAACTTGGAAGCTGATTGGTTTCTATGCAGAGCTGCACCAGATTTTGCACTCTCCAGTTTTAATAAATAACTCCCAATGCAGGGGCGGACTGACAACTCATGGGGCCCCCGGGCAATAGGGGATCATGGGGCCCCTGTGTCCAAACTCAAAAAAGCCTATGAAAAAGGTACCAGGGGCATCTAATGGGGCCCCCTACTGACCCCAGGCCCTTGGGCAGTGCCCGAGTTTCCAAATGGTCAGTCCGCCCCTGTCCCAATGTTTATGCACCATAGGAAACAATGGGAACTTCAATGATGAGTGTTGAAACCCTTTTGGAAATGCAATTCAGATTGCTCAGGTGTGAATTGTAGAGAGAGGTTATCTAGAACCCAAACTTATTTTTATTTCCACTGGGGAGATTTTCATTTTATTTCTCAAGACACAAGGCAACGCAAGAGGAGATTTCTCCAAAGTGTGAGAAATCCCTTTCTTAACAGTTGTCATTGGAACAAGTATCCTCATTGGATGATTTCCCCTTTATTTCTCTTCCTGTCACGACTCAAATTTTTAGATTTCCCTTATTATTAATTCTGGTAAAAATGGGCACCAGGAAAAATAGAAAGGGGAGAATCACCTTGGTGAGGACACAGGCAGGTGTAAAAACTTAACAGAAGTGCAATCCTTTCCCTATTCTATTCAAAACTAAAATAAAAGATTTGGTATTAGATACAATAAATCAGATACAATATATCAAACCGCTAGTGAAGGACAAGGTACTTTCTAAAGGACTAATATTCTGTAGTTCTGAATACTTGTTTGCCAGTTTGCCCAGAGAATGGAGCAGTTCATGAGTTCTAGTAATTGTGACCAATGATAATTCCTATATTGCACAATACTCCCATTGACAAGGCAATTTAGCACTTGCATAGAGGGACCATATATTAAAGTATAGGTGCAAGCAATACTCCCTGATTTTGAGCAATACTTGTGATCGTTGAATTGTTTCTGGCCTACAAGAGGGTAGTAGTGTAAATCTTTGGTGGTTAGGGGTGCTTGTCATCACACAGGATGACTTTTCGTCATATTGGAAGGCTGTATCTATCATTCTGTGTAGAAGAATGAAATATCAAAGTATGATTTGTGCCGCTGTCACTATTGAGTGAATTGTGACAGCTGTTGGTGCCTGAATGATCTGCTGAAAGGTAAGTAGATATCTAAACACCCATTTTGCTCAGTAAGATATGTATGTGTCTATGTCCACACTCAGGGGAAGTAGGGTCCATTCACACTTGTGCATTGCGTCAACGCATGCTAAAACATGTGCATTAACACACCACAATGGAATGGGCCCTATAAATAAATGAATGTTTACGGGTAATATAATGCAAACCTCTACTGAAACACTATATAGGCTGATAATGCTGAGCTCTGAAAATGCAAGTTGCCTGGCTGGTCTGGATTAATACTTAAATTTACTAACCAGGAACCAGCATACAGTAAACTTGCTCCAGGTCAGTGACTCAAATGATTGAAGTTGGAGGGTCATCATGACTGGCAGGGAACTTGCATATTCAGGAGGTGGTTAGCAAAGGCAGTCTCCACATTTCTCTTACAAACAGGTTTCCTTTAAGGCTGGCTACAGGTGGGCAAACCCTATAAGCAACTACAGAAGCTGACCATAATCAATATGAAGAATGGTCTTCATAAATCATAATGACCATCCACCATGGTGGAAAATCCCTCAATGCTGGTCACTCTCAAAGTTGCCTTATTAGTGCTAGTGAAGCTACAGTCCCTCACATGGCAGGCAAAACTCAGTCTAGAGCCAGCATAACTTGTCTGTAGGTGTCAGCAATGATATATTGACATGTTCATTTAAAATCACTGGAGTGTATTTATTGAAGTTGAAATGACTAATACTCCACATTTTATTAAGGAATCAGCTTTTTGTCTGTTTAATATGTAGAGTATTTAGATAATGCAAATCACATTCTAGAATGACTTCCAGCCTAGTGAATTCCATTATCATTTCCTGGGGGGGGGGGGTTCTTCTGGTTCTACAACTATTGTGCTTTACCTTTTTTCATCACAAGCTAGAATTGAGAATCTTGTTATGCAGTTCTGTTTCTAATCCGTTATTCTACCTTGTTCCCTTATTTTTAATGGTGCCTTTTACTGTTTTATGTTTTTAATCATAAGAAATATTGAGATTTTTTAATATGCAAAGTGGATCATTGTCCTTGGGAGAGGTCTCACAAACAGTCTCAGTTGTCATGAGTTTCTAGGTGAATCACTAGCTGGACTATTTTTGTCAAGTGCTGTCTAGTGCTGAATTTCTACAATCTGCTTCCCATACTATTCCATAGCGAGTGACACTCATTGTGGATGATTTACTAAAGGAACAGAGGGTTCACTTTTCAAAGTGAATAGTCACTCAATCAAAAAAAGGGTAAAACTGTGCTGGGTTTGAACAACTAATCATGTACAAGGGAAATGTTTGCTTGACATGATCTGATGATTAAAGTGAACATAGATTCACCTGATCTACTAAGATTTGTGAACATTTACTTTGCATAATGTACATTCTGTCTTTTAGTAAATCAACCCCACTGCATTGACATTTCTGTTTTTTTAGCTGGGGTGACACTAGCCTCAGGCAGCCAACGATTTGACACAATTGAAATCATTGATTGGAAACATTAATTTCAGCTACAATGACTGTACTAGCATAGTTGATCAGATACAAGACTGAAGAGAATATTCGAGAAGGTGGCTTTTTTAACAAATTTTGGGGAACTAATAATCCTAACATGCACTTTCAGGGCAAGCTGGGACCAGAAGTGCCACAGGAACCTGACTCTACCAGCTGTTCGTAACTCTGCCAGATAATTGCTTTACAACTGCTTTGGAAATGTAAACTTCTGTACTACATGCTGGGATGACCACCATTTGGATTTGGGGGTTCTAGGACACAGTAAAGGACATCTGAATAGTCTCCAAAGTCCTGACTCCTGAGCACTTACTAACTGCAACACCTAACGAGATGGCAAAGCCCTACTCTTCTCCAATGTATCCTTCCAAATCTGTACCAGGACTTTAATGTCCTAAAATTTAAAGATTATTTTTTTGAGCTTCCTAGATGAACTCAGGCTGGGATATGTAGTGCACCAGAAGCCCCCCTCCCCCAGAACCTTAGCTCCTTCCCCTGTTCTCCAGTCATCCCAGGAACTTGAAGTCCTCTAGGGTAAGCAGGTGTTGACTATAATGGGACCTGTATCTCCTCAATAATTCTGGGATTAATAGTTCTCTATTACATAGAGTCCTGGTGCGCTACAGCCTTGAAGGTCCCCAAATCCTAGACGTTCCACTTCAATGTTCTAGAACTCTTCACTTCCCCTATAACTATGGAGAGAAATCTATTATCTACCAGCTAAGGGTTAGAAGCTTGTGTTGAAACTAATGCGTAAGAAGCAGTTAGAATCCTGTGCCTGCTTGCCACTGTTTCTAGGGTCAACTCATGTTGGGACTTCAAATTTCTCAACTTTAGGATATACCCTTATTGATATTTCTAAAGCAGCTTGAAATACCTTTCCAGTCTCAAGGAACCCCCTGCTAAAAATGATTAGATCTACAACTCATGATACATTGGTGTGATGGTCAGTGGGAAGAATGTTCCTTACACTTGTGGCCATTGGGAATAATTCCCCCCTTATAGATAGCTAAAAATATGGTGTCAGTGGAAACTTGGAGAAGGAAACTTCTCATTGCTCAAGGAACAGCTAGCAACCTCTGGAGGAACCCTGGTTGAGAAACCTTGTTCTAAAGTGTTTCTTAACTAGGAACCATTTCTGGGCTCCTCATTCTTCAGCGGTTATAGAAAAGAGACCTGAGTTTATACAAAGTCCTCTGGAAGCGATAGTGTTCATATTTCTATGTTCTTCTCCTATGTCCCTAGGTGTAAAGTCAGGACCTTCATGGTGTAGGCCAGGGGTCTCCAAACTTTTTAGGAAAAGGATCAGTTTACTCTGCTTCAGACTTTAGGGGGTGCAAACTGTGACCAGTGGGAACAGAAAATGCTCTGGCATCAGTGGGCATAAATAACGACCAATCATTGGCTTGAATGGAAGGGATAGTACCCCATTGTTGGTATCAATGGGAATAATAGTGCCCCATCAATGCTCTCAGTGAGAGGAATCGTGCCCCATTAATTGTGTCAGGGGGAGGAATAGTACCACATGGATGGTGTCAGTGATAGGAAGCGTGCCCCATCAATGGTGTCAGTGGGAATAATAATGCCCAATTTATGCTCTCAGTGGGAGGAATAGTGCCCCATGGATGGTGTCAGTGGGAGGAATAGTGCCCCATGGATGGTGTCAGTGAGAGGAATAGTGCCCCAGAGTTGGTGTCAGTGGAAACAATAGTGCCCCATTGATAGTGTCAGGGGGAGGAATAGTGCCCCATGGATGGTGTCAGTGGGAAGAATAGTGCCCAACCGATGGTGCCAATGGGAGAAATAGTGCCCCAAGGGTCAGATAAAGGCAAGCCAAAGGGGCACATCTGGCCCCCAAGGCTGCTGTTTGGTGTAGACCAATGGTTCCCAACCTCAGTCCTCAATTACCCCCATCATGTTTTCATGCACCTTTGCTCTATATCAATGTTAATGGTTTGGTATTTATGACGGTTATCTATGGGGTCTATGGTTTTATCTAAGGGAAAGTTCCAAGGCATGGCGTGTTGGGGGTACTTGGGAATTGGGAACCCCTAGTGTAGACAATCCCAGATTCTTTGTCCCCTCTCTGATGCTCCAAGATTTGAACTAAGTCTGGGACTGTCCTTCAGCAACTACGGAGGTCCATTTCTAGGGTCCCTTTATCACTTGTTGGACAAGTTTAGATCTACAAGCCCCCAGCCCCCCCAGGTGAGCACTCACGTGTTCCTCTGTGGCAGATGATGACCTTCTTGGGCTGCAGGGAGCTCTCAGTGTTTTGGTTCCTCAGGGGCAGGTCAGACTGCACCAGCTCGCTGAGAAAGTTGATGTAGCCGATGGCCAGGCGCAGGGTGTCCACCTTGGAGAGCCTCTTCTCATAGGGCAGGGTGGGGATGTGGGAGCGGAGACCCTCGAAGGCATCATTGATGGACTGCATTCTCCTGCGCTCACGGACGTTGGCCGCCTGCCGGAGCTGCTGCATCTCAGCATCGGATCGGATCCTCCTCCTCCTCTTCATCGCCCCGCAGCCCGAGCCCTTCATGGCCGGGGACAGGTCGCAGCCGACCTCCCCGCAGTCATAGGGGAAGCCGCCGGAGGAGGAGGTGGACGAGAAGGAGAAGTTGCCGGCGTCGCAGTAATCTTCCCCGTGCAGGACGCGGCTGTCCTTGTAATAGTCCTGTATCTGGCCGGTCAAGAAGTCCACATCGTCCTCCAAGAAGTCCTCGGCGTCCAGGTGGTCCCTGGAGGACTGGTCGGTGAAGAAGTCTTCCTCATCGAAGTAAGGGGACGGGAAGGACTCCAAGCCGGTGAAGTGCTCCAGCACCGAGTCCATGGCGGGGGTCCGCAGTGCCGGAGACAGGGACACGTCAGGGTTCTTATAAGAACATCCAGAGACGCGTGCCTGGACCGTCAGCCCCTCAGCCAATCAGAGACCTCCTCCCTCCTCCTCCCCCCCCCCCTTGCAAACACATACAGGTGCCAGGCGGACAGCCACGCCCCCCCTCGCCTCTTCTCACACAGGTAATGGGTCGCCCAGCTGCTGAGTCTTCCCAACAGAAGGGGGGCGGCCAGCATGGGCTTGTAGGGGGACAATGGGCACAAATCATGGTGTCAGCCGCTCATAATCAGGACACTCCATGTGGACAGCAGCCTACAGCAGAGACAATGAGGACAGAGAGCTCCATGAAATGTCACAGCAAAGCCTCCTCAGCTCTCATGCTTCTACAGCCCACAACCCCTACATCTGTATAGAAGAATCACAGGGAATGGTACATCCCTACAAATACGGACTCCTCATTCCCTTTAATAAGAAATATACAATACATCCATTTACTAAAAACGTTTGCCTGTTCTCACAAGTAATTCCACACCTGTAGAAGCAGAGAATGGCCCACCTAACCCAATGAACGAGGCGATGCTGGCTTCACTTCAATCAGCCAATCACATGTATGCAAAAATCCTTTAAAGCTGACCATACACTATATGATCGTACAACCAATACCGATATAGGAGGACACTCCTAATAAAAATATTCAGTGGAAATGATTTACTAAAGACAATCAGACTGTGCATTTTGCAAGTGCAGTTGCTCCAGAGCTTAGTAAATGAGGCGAAGTTTCACTTTGCAAGGAATGCCCAATTACATACAAGGAAAATAAAAAAAAAAGCCTTTTTGCTTACACATGATTGGATGATGGAAGTCAGCAGCGCTTCCCCTATTTTCTAAGTCAGCTTTTCCCAATCTTTTCAACATGGAGGAACCCTTGAAATTACTTTCCAGTCTCAGAGAACCCCTGCTGAAAATGACCAAAGCTACAACTCATGATACGTTGGTGTGATTGTCAATGGGAGGAATGCTCCTTACACTTGTGGTCCTTGGGAAGAATTAACCTCTTATAGATAGCTAAAAGGGTCAGTGGTGTCAGTGGGGGGTGATCTGACAGCAGACATTACTTTTAGATAAAGGAACCCCTAGCAACCTCTGGAGCAACCTCTGGGGGAACCTCTGGAGGAACCTCTGGGGGAACCTCTGGAGGAACCTCTGGCTTCCATGGAACCCTGGTTGAGAAACCCTGTTCTAAGTTCAGGGTGCAAGTGCACTCGCAAAGTGCACAGTCTATTTGTGTTTATGAAATCAACCCCAATTTGT